CCTGAACTAAGACACTCACAGATGGTAAAATACTGAAAGCAGTCAAGCTAAGTACAATAATTATTATTACTTTTCAATGGAGTCTACATAACCACCTATTTCCTCAACACATTATTGTAAGAATAGGGATGCTATTTGTGTGCTAATACAAGTGCAGGTGAAGCACAAATATTAAAGCATGTCAGGACAACCTTTCATTTTTATAAAATAACAGAAGTAAATCTGAAGATTGCACTACATTTTTTTTTACCCAATGTATATATCTAAAGTGCACATTCACACTCTGGTTCTTGAAGGAACACCCTGTACTGCAGAAATATAGACCAAATATTAAGACTACCCATGAATACATACCAATTTCCCACTTGCAAGCCACAATCCACATCACATCATCTGAAACACAGAGGCCAAGGGTATGGCCAGTCACTGAAAACATCTTGCCATTACATCACACACTAACTAACAAGCCTGCCCAGTATGCTATTTTCTACCATCAATATCTTAAGGTACAAAATCAAATGAAAGCATGGATATGCTGTGAAGGGCAAACTGACACTAGTGCAGTTGGTATTTATTCACCCTCACGGGCCTGAAATCTGGAGCTTACAAACCTCTTCATGAAAGTTCCACCTTCTTTTCAGTTGCACCCAACAGCCATGATTACTTCTTGGGGTGGGGGTGCAGGGTGGTTCCTATTGGGACGATATTCAGAGAACAATTTTACTCCCCAAATGCAAAAACCATTTGCAATGAGCTTCATATCTAAGGTCTGCCCTGAGAGTCTCAACTTGGGCTCTTCCACTGAATTTCTGCAGCTTTGCTGCCTAACAAAGACAACAATAGTCTGGTTTATATTCCTTAAAAAGAAAACTATAGTCACAGAATAAGGTAAGTCAGAAGAAAACGAGATCACCACTAGCTAAATGGTGTAAGAATCCCTGAAATGAAAACGAAAATGCCTGAAAGTAAGTCTTTCGCATGCCTTCTTCTCAGGTTTTGCTTTTCACATTACTACCCAGCACAACAATGTCATTTACTGGCTGCATTTCCAACATTAATCACTGAAATGTAACAGCAATTGGTTGATATATCCTAAGACCTATGCAGGAAGTTAAGTGATGAATGAAGAACGGCCAGAGCTGTATGTGGGCTTAATTGCTTTTTTCCTTCCACCCTGTTTCAACAGGTCCATCAAGCTCCGTTGATAACTGTAGCAACTACAACTTCCATGTAGGAATGTAGAAGACTATTTTTTTGATTTTTTTAATGAAAAGATCAAATAGATAAGGTGCTGTGACATCTCATAGGATTAGTGAAGCCAGCCTTTTAGCAATGGTTAGCTACCATGCCTGCAAGATACTAGATCAACCATTTGATTTCAGAGGAGAAAAATCTTTTCAAGGTTTGCCATCCATGAAAGGTCTCTGCACCTGAGAGTGTTACTTCGCTACAAAGTTATGGCCTGATTTTTAACAGCAGCAATTTAATACTGTTGGTAATTCCTAGGTAAAAGGTTTACAGGTTGATGCTAATATAACACAATGTGGTTTATAATGAATCAAGTGCAAAGAGTGTTTCACCATCTCCAGGTGGTAAACTCTCTCATGAAAAAAAAAAATAAATTACAGTTGTCACTGTTAGCTACGTACCACCAACAGAAATTACCAATTGATTTCACATAGAGAGGAACCAAGAAATCTGGTATGTGTCTGAAACATGTCAGTGCACCACAGACTGTAAACTTCCAAGGTAGAAATAGTCACAATATTGGAGTGGTATATGAGCAAGAAGCAAACAATGCTCCACAGCAGAGAAGAGTCAGGAGTGTTGGGACAGGTTGGCAGATAGAGAAGTGCCAAAGCAGCATCAGTGAGGTTGCTAGCAAGGCACATGAATAGTCAAGATGGTGGGCAGTTGGAACTGGAAGTATCAAACAGTACCAGTTGCAAGATGAAGGGTAATCTTCTACTGCTTTGCCAATTACAGGTGCATATGAGCACTTGGGCTGAAATATGGGACAGAAATTCAGTCCTTCTGAGTGATGACTGAAAAACAGCCCCTGAAGTCACTGGGACTTTGGTCTTTATCAGTTTGCATTTCCCACCTTGAAGATTGTGTCTCAGGAGCAGGGATGTGCTACAACTTTTAGCCTGAGACTTTGATTCCTTAGAAGCCATTACTTTTTAGGATTTAGTTACTCAGTAGCTAAAGTAGCAATTTACTGATCCAGTGGTGGAATTTCAAATGAAATTGGTCACAAAACATTGTTTTATTTTCTTCTAAACACATGCACTTTGAATACTTCCCAATGTACTTGGAAATTATCATCTGTTGAGAAGTCAAAATACCTGTTATGTTGATAAGGAAACTCTACTTGCTACTCAGAGCAGATGTACTCCTTTAATTTGTGAAAACTGCAATTCAATCTGCATACACCTTCATCCAGCTCAAAGTCTCACCTTTTTCCACACAATAACATACGTACACTAAATACTTCAGAATCATTTCCAGCATGACTGTCAGTGGTTGCTGTGTTTAATGTTAGCAGACAATGGAACTTAGACCAACTAGGAAATAACCATAAATGTTAATTATCTTGCTGAAGATGAAACCAGATGATATCTGGTGCTGGCATTATCGTAAACAGGAAAAAGGTATGAGAGGTACTTAACTTAGAGCTTTATAAATACCAGATATGCACATCAGGAGGAAGCTGGCAGTTTAAGTACAGCTCTGTAGTAACAAGTGAGTGAGAGAGGCAGAAGGACAGAGTATGTGAAATCATTCATGGGAAGACCATTTTTATCCCAGACAATTTGTATTATCTTCTTTATTGGACAGATGCTCAGTGTGTTAGGAGATATATGTCTTGGTTTATATACTGCCACAGTTTACCTTATTTTCTTTGCTACAACAATAAAACACAAAGACTGGGACCACCATGGCGATGTGGCAAAATGCAAAGCATCAGTCCCATATGTCTCCCTGGAGCACCAAAGCAAAGCCTTGAGCCTCATCCTGCAAACATTTATGCACAAGCTGAACTTCATGTACTGTGATTAATTTCCCTGACACCGTGTGGGTTTCATTGCAGCACACAAAACCAAACACAGACTTATGTATTTTTAGGATCAGGACCTACTTAGCACTACTCAGCTGTGATTTAATGCGATTGTACTTAATGTGCATCTTACTAAATGTGAGAGGATTTTGTGTTTTGGTACAGTTTGTGTTATTTTTTTGCTCAGAACAGCATGTATGTTGTTTCAACATTAATGTTGAAAGTGAAATACTCTGTAGTCACTGATGTTTATTTAAACAATTATAACATTGTCTAATGCAGCTGGGAACGGAGGTACAGTAGCCTCATATTTAAAAGCATGGCCTTTTATATAACATTAAAGAGCTCTAGTGGGCATGTTGCCCATTTCTGATTCCCTAGTGGCTTCTATTTTTCACAGGAATTAATGTTCTAATCACAATGCATCTGTATAACATTTTCCTTGTGCTGATCAAGTATCAGCAAATCAGTGATTATTTAATGCATCCCACCACATATGCTAGGCCAAATTATACAAATATGGTCTGGTGGAAGAGATAATTGGGCACTTCTAATCATAAAATAGTGCCCCCCCCCCAAAAAAAAAAAAAAAACCACAAAAAAAAACCATAGTAAAGGAACATCAGGGATATATAATAAAAGCAGAAAAAGAAGAAATATCCCTCATCTTTCATGGCAGGATCATTTTTTGTGGACTGTGCTTAGAGTAATAATTGAGATGTAGATGAGCATCAATATTCAGAATTAAGTAGTCCAGCATCAGTCTTTACAACCTTAGAGATCATGCATATGTATATGCATGCAAGCACTCATTCACAAGTCAAGCAAGATTCCTATCATGCAATTTAAACTTTTCAAAGTTGGAGGCAAAGTTTTCTGATCTAGGCAGTAAGCCCCCAAAAAACAACTTGTTTTTTGAAGCCGTATCATTCTGGTTAGGATAGAAATAGGTTGTATCATCCCTTAGTTGCACATCCAATGCTCAACAGCTGCACTGGAAATCTCTGGACTGACTTCCCAGAGAAACACATCCATGGACACTCCAGAAATGTATGTATATTCATATACACACACACACAGACACACAAAGAAGGCTGATATACTTAAATACCTAAATGTACTGATGAAAAAAAAAAAAAAAAAAAAAAAAGCAGTACTGCCGTTGTTAATAATCACAATACCACTTAGGTATTTTTTTTCCAGTTATCTGCTACAACGCTAATTGCTGGTTCAAAAATCAACATTTCACGTATCTAATTCTACAACTGAAGAATAGTAGCTGCAGTTAGGGATATTCTTTTTTAACTATAAAGAGTTAATTATTTTTAACACTATGTACCTATTCACATTTTATCTGCTTCTAACTGAATATGAAATAATGTGTAAGTGACATCTGTTGTCCACTGAGCAACCTCCTGCTCTGTTTTTCAACATTTTTCCAGTTACAGAGATTGAATTATACAATTAAACTAAAATAATGGAATTTTTAGTCCTTATTATTCTTATACCTTTACAAATGCTCACATTTCAAAATTAGGTTATATTCATTACCAAATTGAGAGCAGTGAGTATGTAACAATACTGACTTTCTTTTTGACCCAGCATTTGTTTTGTCCCAGAAAAGCATTCAGTGCACAAGACTGGCTAAAGACCACTGAAATCAATGGAAAGGCTACCAGTGACTTTGATGGAATATGGACTGGGCTTTGAGCATAACACTGATGTCTTAATTAACTCATTAAAAGGGCTGAATTTGGCTTTGACAGATGTAAAGCAGTTCATCCCATGTATTTTTAACAAACTGCATATATTTTAACCCCACCCTTCCACTCCCAGGAATTTAGACTTTTTTTTTTTTTTCTGTTTTCTCTGTTAAGGAGCCCCAGCACTTGCACATGAATAATGAATGGCTGGAATACATATATTTGTTTGTACTTACAGGTGTCTGGCTTGAGCTGACTGTTGGTAATGCCAAAGTACTGAGGATTTTCAATGACGGGAATCTTTGTCATCCCAATGATGACTGCGTCAGGACCCCCCTCAGAAGAAGATGGAGTGTTACTGCCATTTGAGATGTGATGGAGAGGGCTGGCTGAATCATCATCATTGCTGATAACTGAAGAAGGACCTAGAATTAGAAACAAAGATTTGTCTTAATTCAGAACTTTTTTTCCCCCCTCAGACCATTCTTTTTTTTTTTAATCCTTTTTTTTTTTTTTATCTCCAGTCTTTTTGTCCAGACTATCTTAATAGTCATTTGCTCTATTAATGTACCTTGTTGATCTTACCTCAGGAATTTTATATGTCTGGGTTGAGATGGAGAAGTAGGGGGGGGAAAAGAAAGGAAAAAAAAAAAGAACACAGTGGTAGGCCATTAGGAGTTGGAATGTGAAGTAAATTTTTTGCACCGGTAGATCACCTAGACTAAATATGTCAGGGTCCAGCATAGTCTGTTATCAAGAAATATCCCTAAATAAGTTATGAAATACACATAATAACTTTTTACCTTAAGACTTTCTCAGATCACAGAGCAATAATACCTTTTCCCACAAACATGGGGAAACACCTGCCTTCTCTTTGAGGTGGCATTATAACAAGGCAAAAGACAGAGAGAAGATGGGCTCATCCTAAACTTGGAAACTGTGTCAGTTCTGAAAGACAAAATGGCTGGGAGCCAAAATCAAGAGGACATGTATACAGTCATAGAAGGTGCAGAGTAGGTGCTCAGAATAGTGGGAAAGACATATCTCATACTAGTGTGACATCTGGGGTCACTGCCCATGTGGTCCTCCAGTACAGGATAATATTCCTGTGGCTCCTGAGGCCCCATCCATACTTCAGACTGGTCACATTCCAGAAAGAGGTTTATTTTGATCAGTAATTTAATGACAGTTTTTGTTGTTTTTGTTGTTGTTGTTGTTATTGTTGCTTTTGTTTTGTTTTTGTTTTCACTGTGTACTCTATACTTTCAAAGAAAGCACTATGGTGTTAAAACCTTGTAAGTAAATAATAATAACAAAAAAACGCTTAGCAGCATGTTCCACTTCTGTGAGCTATAGGGGCTTCTGAACTAATGGCAAGGTCAGTGCAGATACCATTTGAAACCTTGTGATCTAACACTGCTATTTAAATTCTCCATTACATCTTCCAGTACACAGCCAATGTTCAAAGAAAACCAGAGTCACCATTTAGCAGTGACAACATGTTGCCTAAACTGCCCACTGAAGAGCCAGCAGAGATCACGCATGCCACATGTCAGACCATTTTCCATCCACATTAACCTGTGCTTTTGGTTTGGCATTCACATATTCTAATTTTAACAATTAATAGATGATGCTAGCAACAGATGGAATGATTCACCCTCTTGACATGCCTGTCCTGGAACGGCATCCTCAGACGACACCTGTGTTTGCCCTACCAGCAGAATTGATAGGTTTGTCTCCCTAAAGAAGGGGGAAGCACAGGTGATCTTGGCATAGACAAACAGCTGTATTTACTCCAAATCACCAGCCACTCTTCTGCAAAATGTTGTCCCAAACTGAGCTTTAAGTTGGACAGAAGAGAACAGTGCAGAGGCAAGATAGATCCAAGTAACCCCAGCACACAGATGGCATCTGCGTTTGCAGGAGAGATGGGGGACATAGAGACACCAGCAAATCATATAGAAACATCACGGGGGATGTAAAAGAAGATGAGGAGGACGCAACACAACAACTAATACACACAACTAATGAATGAGGGCAGTCCCAGACACAGCAGCCAAGAAAGGTCAGGTTTATAGAAAGGAAATTTTGACTCTCTTACTGGTTTGCGGTGCACTGTATCATAACAGGAACACTTTATCATTACATGGTATGGTTCACAGGAATAAAGCTTAAATAATTTGGCATGTGGCTATTCAACCGTATCTTTAGAGGCTCAAGCATACTCCCACCCCTGTCCTGCTTTCCCTTCTCCCCAGTTGGCTTAATGGTGCATGAGGGAAATGTTCTCATAGTTTGAAAAAGTACTTCCCCCCCCCCCCCAAGCCTGAAACATTAGAGGTGATTTTTCAAATGCCTTGCACTTCACTGGAAAGTCACTGTTGACAAATGTAAGTGAAGCCTAGATCTCTGCAATTTATCAAGTGAAATACTAATACCAAGGCTGTTTTTGTCATTACTGATCACTGAGATTGATTCTACTAGGAAAGCTGCCAGGATTAAGAGTTTTTGGTGAAGATTCCTCTAATGAAGTGCAGAACCTAGGAAACTGTGGGAAAGGGACCCTCAGATGGCACCAAAGATACTTAAGTGAAGTCACAACACATTTTTCAGGTGCATGGGAGTTGTGTGCGGTAGAATTAGTGCAAACTCATTTAAAACTGCATGCAGTTGTTTTTTTTTTGTTGTTGTTGTTTTTTTTTCTAGAGATCATCCTTAGATCTCTCAAATTTCTGAATGTCAAGCTAATGGCACCAAAAAGCAAACAGGCAAATACACATTTTCTTGGGAAAATACAGTCCTTTTATACATGTATGTAGTCCTAATACAGAATTTGTAGGAGGGTCAAATCCCTTCTCTTACAGCAAATGGGCAAAATCTCTTGCCTCTGTAGTTTAGTAGACACACATCTCTTAAGTCCTTTTCAGCCTTGTTGTTCTCTGCCACACAGAGGGGGCTCCTTTTTCATTTTTTGCTTCCACAAGTAGTGATGGCAAGGAAAACCCTCCATTACACATTTCTGGATGTTAGAATGGTATAATGAATAGAAATTAATTCTATTCATCAAATCATTTCTTACTACTCTAAGACACATTTTTGTGTGGTGAACTGTTTTTTCAGTCAGTATAAACTGCAAAGTGTTGCAGGTGAAAAGTAGACAATTGTTCTATAAATCTATTCACTCAATTAAGATAACTGGTAAAAACTAGTCTTCCTTGTGGCATGAAATAGGCTCCAAGTATATTCAGCTCTCTGACGTAGCTGAGGAAAATTTGGAAAATGAGGTGATTCCTCAGTAAGTATGTAATAGTCTAAGAAAAATTCAACTCTGGGAACTTTGTGCTGTGTCCCTTGGTGTCCTCTCTCATTTAGTAGAAGATAATCGGCTCATGCAATAGTCTTTGGAAACAATTGTTCAGATTCAAAAATCCTATTTCCTTTTACTGTGTATTTCTTCTCTAGTTAAGCCAAACAGAACTCAACAGATGGAAATTTTTGTGTATCAGAGGCAAGCTGAGCTCACATCCTCTCAAAGAGCCTCTTTGCTGGGACCTTTTAGTGAATATGAGCAAACTGGTACACAAACTGTTTCCATATTTGCTTTTATGCCAGACTACACTTTCTGTGAAGCTGCATTTCATCTTTCAAATGCACTAAGTCACATTACAATTACAGGCTAGCATTGCAGCTCACTCCTTGCAGCAGCCTCTGACTGATATTCCAGTAATGCAAAACCATTTTCCAGAATGCAAGATGAGCCCATCATATGTGCTGACAAGAAACTTGAGCAATGCTTTTCTGAATTTGAGCTAAGCTCAAATCAAAAGATAATTTCTTAAAGTACCTTGAAGTGTGGTTTCATGGAGATTAAATGGGGTCACTTCATTATTTGTCAAAGGCAGAATGAGTATGATAATTACACCCATTGTAGATTCTGTTTTTTGTCAAATCTACTGTTGATTTCACATCCAAAATACGAAAATTTCGCACAAAATATCTTTGGTGGAAGTGAAAATCATGGGTTGTCAGTAGCCATTAGCTATTGCCAACAGCAGACGCACAGTCAGCTTGACCTTTTAAGAAAACTGCAGAGGTTTTCTCTGCCTTCAAATGTGCAGCCCAACATCTTCACTAGATATCATTTTTAGACTGTTTCTTATCTTAAGAAGACAGAAGCTGGAGCCAGATGAGAAATGGTAGGCTGCCTTGGAGAAGAAAGATGAGAGCTACACTCTGCAGGGCTGAATTTCTTCTCTCTCTGATGTTAAGCTAAAAAACTGCCCATTCTGCATGGCCTAGACCTAAGAAAAATCACTTCTGCATACAAAAATAGCAGCTATCAGAAAAAAAAAACAAAAACAGTGCCATGTAATGTAAAAAAAACAATTACATTCTAAACTGGCACACTATGAAAAAGCCAAAATACTCCCCACTTCCTAGGCTGTGAATGAACTTCATGGACATGGTATGAGGACGAGCAGAAAGAGTGCTGCTATTTCTGGTCAGAAGAAAGAGGCTCATGATCATAAAATACATCCTTTCCTGATGCTCTTTTTGCCATCAGAGTAAATGAATTTTAGCATGCATGCTACCAGGATCTACCCACCCTGTTATTTACTGGGACTAGGCTTTGCTCTGCCTTATTCCAGATTTCTGCAGATACTTAGGTAGCTGGCTGCTGCAACACATCTGATTACTGTCTGCCACTGAACTAATCCACATGACCTTCCTGTGTATGAAAGTACAGAAAGAGTCCCAAAGTGAATAACAACATGACTCAGCTAAGCAAGCTCAAAAAAAAAAAAAAAAAAAAAAGGAAGGTTCTCAAATGCAGAATCAGAAGGAACATATGGTTATGGTTTGCACCTGGCATGGTCTTGCAAGCACATATTTTCAGACTTTAGTTTAGATGGTCACAAACAATCACTGCGTCCATCTACTTCTCCCTTCACCTACTGTGTTGAAGATGTAAGCAATCTATCCCATGCATACTCTCTGAACTCTAACAAGAGCTCTTGAACACAACACTATTCTGCATGCTCCTTGCAATACCCTTCTCTGTGTCACACGTCACTTGAATTATCCCTGAAGTCACTATGAAAGGTTGAACTAAGTTGGGAGACATCAGGAGTAGTAATTCTCAAAAAACCAGACAATTTTAACTTTATGATTGGAGCTGTGTAGTTACAGGGACACATCTGCTTAGCTGGGTCTTAGAAGGCAGCTCAAGTAGAGGATTATTTATAGATATGACTTCTGTGCTGTGATGTCTTAATGACAATGGCTCCTTCCATGTCAAATGGCGCTCAAGGCAAGGAGGATTCCTCAACTGATGTTGCACTAACATTGGCTCTTGCTTAAGATCCTTGTTCCCATAGGCACAAGGAGCAATCTATGCAGGGATGTAAGGTAACGGCACACCATC